TAACTAGAAAATCACCACGTGTGTTTACATTAAACCAAGGAACAACACGTGAAGAGAACATTACCTGTGTGTTTTGTTTGACTTACAAGCGAAGATAATTACAAGTACAACCCAGGACAGCTGTGACGATTTCGACTATAAACCAATCTACGACTGTATCAAAGGTGACACGCCGTGAGATTACCTGATATCTCACTCAGCTGCTTCAAAGGTACCAGCAACTAACATACACTCATTCAGGCAAGTGTTAACAAGTGAGATAGTTCGATATCATACCTACGATAGTTTGTCCTATGCTAAATATTTCCAAAGTCAAATAATCAGGTATAATATTTATTCTTTTGAATTAATTTATCCATCCATTATTTAACATGCACATTTATTATTGAAAACTTTTGTTATTATATTTTATTTAAATATTTCGTGTCATATATATATATATATACATATGTATATATATATATATATATATATATATATATATATATATATATATATATATATATATATATATATATATATATATATATATATTGCTACGTACTTATATTCCTGATCTGGACACCCTACCAGGAACCGAGCGGTAACCGACCTCCACAGACTCGAACGTTTTGTTTACTTACATTTCACCTCATGTTTAGCCTATTGCTACTGCACTATTCAGTCTTACTCAGGTGTTCTACATCACTATAGGAGAGGAGTAGCAAACACAATGTTGGAATGCACAATACATTGCCAAGAAACACTAACAACCAGCAATAATCAAACATTAACAATCGCCACACTCATACAAGAGTTACATAAATATAAAACAATACTCTAACAATCACCCTATTCCTACCACATAGAAATATACATAAACATTAGAAACTTACATTACATTCTAAGCCAGAGTAACACAATTTGCTATCAACCACAACCGGCTCCACTGACCACCAGCTCCACACCCTCGTCCGTCCCGGAATGCTCTGCCGTCCTCCCTGGTGCACCGCTTCATTACAACCCCGTTCGAGATCTGATCAACACAGATACGGAGCTCCGGAGAGCCTATCCATGAGCAGTCAAACACGGGTCTATTATGGTCAGGTACCAGTCGGGTTCGCAAGCATATTCTAAATGAAGCTTCGTAATATATATATATATATATATATATATATATATATATATATATATATATATATATATATATATATATATATATATATATATATATATATATATATATATATATATATATATATATATATATACATATGGGGGGGACTTAGAGGTAGAAAGTATAGGAAGAATTTATGGTTGTATGATGTAAAGTGAGGAAGTTTGATAGCGTGGCTGGTTAGTTATTTAACTGTAAATACGTTCTTAGGGGAAATCTTTCTAAACACCGCTTTCAATGCAACTATTTATTATTTAACTGAATGGCATGGACACATTAATAGATCAATATATCGAAGTTACTAGACACTGACTGTCGGACACAAACGTGAAACGGATACATTTCCCAGCGTAAGTAACTCACCTCTTGATCGCTCTGACAATGACTCACATGTGACCTGCGGGAGGCCCAGCAGGTGCTGTTGAAGGGAGTGCTGGACTATGTCTCCTGTGGTAGATTCTGCTAGCTGGAGACACGGTGCTGTGGAGGGAAGTCTCCCTCTGGGGAGGAGCTGTCGGCTATCTCCCTTTTGCAATGATGCTCCGAATGCTAACTGACCCTGAATGTGAATGCTTTGGAGGAGGGAGCTGCAGGGTAGGATGTGTCAATTTAGGGGGTGAACTGGCTAAATTGAAAATCGAGTAATTTGGTAGCAATTTATTGTAGTCTTTAAGCATGCAAAACAATATTCTGGTTTAATTTTTTTTTTATAATAAGTCCTACCTACATCAAATGGATTTTTAAATGTACATATTTGTGAATTTATAACATAACCAGCGTTTGCACACATGTTACTGTTTCAAGTTTCAAATTATTATATTTTATTATCCGTAGTCTATTTGAAAGTAACCAATGCCTTCATACTCTCTTTGCTTTGGTTTCTTGTCATCAGTAGTCTGCTTGCTATTTGTGCTTTGATGTAACCTTCTCGCCTCTCGTGGCTGTAAACATGGCCCGCTTCTTCTGTGACCATTTTCACACATCTCTCCACACTTTGAGTGTGGGAAGGCCACTTCGGCACCTGCATTGGAGTCTCTTTAAGGTTTCTCAATTCTTGGCTAGTTAGACTTGTTGTCAATGGTGGCTCTAAGACTTCCAAACTCAAGTCAACCAATTCTGACAATTTAGTGGCATTGACGTTTATTGGGGGAACTTTTCTTGAATGAAACGAACAGTCTCCCAACTGGTCGTCATCTATTAGCGTTCCTCTAATCTTTAGAATGACTTCTACAGCCTCGGTTCGGAGATTGGTACATTGACTGCAAAGCATTGCTTGCAAAACTGCTTCTGATCGAGCATACCAAGCGGACCTTCTTGCCACAGGTAACACGATGTCCCTCACTACCTTCCTCTGTGTTCTTACTAGCTGCAATTGAAACAAAAGGTGATTGGGCCCATCCACCCACATAGGTTTAAGTTTCACACTAAACCACTGGGGAAGATAAACTCCAATAATAAATTCAACAATTAACCTCAAATTCTTCAGCACTTTGCCCTTCAATTCGTGTTTGGAAATCCAAATCCTGCAGAAACGAAGGGCTGTAGTTAACCAACGGCTGTGACTGACAGGTCCAATCTCCAAGAGAGCCAATGACTGAGGCACTTCTCCTGATCTTATTGCTTGGGCAATACGATAAGCATAGGATTGATCTGTGCTGAGATCTTTGATGACTCCTTCAGACAACGCCGGAAGGGGAGGGCCAACTTCGACCTTTGAAAAGGTTGTATTTATTTCTAGTTGTGTTGCTTCATCCAGCATGATGCCAAGGGGACCTGACCACTTGTTGTTGCTCTTTGTAGGACCATCAAGTTCCTGGATGAGATGACGAAGAGGTAGCTCGCCTGTATGTAAATCACATACAATCCAAACAAGTCTTCTTCCTAGTTTTTCTCTAAATGCGTCATTACACCCCCCTGCCATCCGGTGTTCACTGCAGTTGAATCTCCACCAACAGCCTGCAGTGAACTGCCAAGTCCTCTCTCCTGAACCCAACATAAAATATGATCAGCAATGACCTCTGCATGTTTCTTCCCTTCTACTTCAGTTTCGGGAGCAAAGTGAAACAAAAACCGACCACCAGGCTCAGAACAGACAGAGTAGTGTTCTTCTTTGATGAGACCTGGAAACTTTCTGTTCACTCCCTCTACTTCTAGCAAAACTTTTGTGTCATCTATTCTTCCATCAAACAAAAGACAGGAGAGCCCTCCCTCGCTTAAATCTTTTTCATGCTGATCAGATATTTCCTTCATTATTTTTTCTTGTGCTCTTCTAATTTTATTATGATCTATCACCAAAGATACATCCTCTCGGCTGATGAGGCCTGCATCTATCCAAGCGGCAGTTGCAATTTCTGCAGCCTCACGAAGTCCAGCATGGTGGCGAATACTAGCTAAAGCAATGTTTGAAATATTTCTTGTGTTGTATTTCATTTTCTTTGGTAAAGGTTCAGATGGCTCTTTGGAACTATCATCTGATGTTGCTTCCTGTTCATCAGAAGAACTATCAAAGAAGTGATAAACATCTTGACACAGCTCTTCCTCTCTTTGGATGGCTTCTTCCCTCTTCATTTTCTTCTTTTGTTCCCTCTCTCGGATTTGTTCTCTCTTCTTGGCATTAGCAATCTGCTTCTTTGTTTCTGAATAATCTATTGAACCCATTTGCATACTTCCTTGGCCTTCTGCCTTTGTCCTCTGTGCCTTTATAAATTCAAGCTCTAAAACAGGGATCTTCTTTTCACGAGGACAATCACAATCAATGTGGGAATTATTTTCTCTCTTACCTGAGTGAGAACAGTTGGATTCAGAACATAATTGTATGGAGCACTTGCAGGTCAAAATGTCAAACAGAGTATCAAGTGTGTGCAGAAATTCATTTTTCCTGGCCAAGTTTCCTTTACCAAGTGATGTTTCAACTGCTTTGTGCCATAATTTCGTTAGTTTTAGCTCAATAGTTCGACACTGATTAATCACAGGTGGTTTGAATAGTGCATTAGCTTTTGTCCATTGATGCAGAAGAGGACTATCATGTCATTTATGAGTTCTTTATCTGTATAGTTCCTTCTGTCCTTTGCATTTTTTTCTCGAAGGAGTAACCCTAATCTTAGCATGTCTCTCACTGTTGGAAGTTCTGATACAGGGAGCTCCTTCCCTTTACCAAGTAGCAGGCTCAAGTGGGTTGACAACTGACTTCTTGTCTTCAATTTTGACATCTTCACACTATCTGACAAATAGAAAATTATTTCAATGTTTCATAATTCAATTGTTGTTTCAAAAAATATCAATTTGTTTATCAAAAATGCTGTAACAGAAATAACATAATAATTTCTTAGAACATAATGTTTTATACAATGATATAAGTAACTGCGACAATCAATATGCCCTACTTACAATAATTAAAATGTAGAATTCGTCTGGTAGAGTAGGTGCAAGTGCAATGAGAGCAAACCACCGTCTATGATATCTAGAAGGAGAGTGAGCCGGGCGCCTTATCCTCACGCTTGGTACAAGTCAAAACAAGAATTAAACTGTCCCACACGGAGAGCCTGTTCATGTTCATGTTCATGTTCTGACATGCATATTGTACACAAGCTATAGAACCATAAAATACTCCATAATCCATATGCTTACATGCGATTAGTTAATATCAAGTGAATAATTCTCATCAAGTCTCATTAATTTGTTGAAATACTGATATTTGAAACTTTAAGGTATAATTGATGTAGGTGAGGGTTATTTCAATTCATTTTTGTTTGCTAATCTCAAGTTTAGACATAAAGAGGCACAATATTTTGACTACCAAATTTGATTTTTAACATGTTGACAAAATTGACACACCCTAATGGTGAAGGGTCACAAAAAACGAGGATATTAATGCCTAGAAGACCAAGAAGAAAATAATAGGAAGAAAAATTTATAGACAGCTGGACAGACGCACAGGAAGACAGATGGAGATAGAGCCTTATCTTCTGTTACTGTCTGTCGGTTCTTATCTTATTTCTTCCTCTTTTATCATTATTATCCTTGTTCTTTAGAGTCAGAATAAGACAAAGACATACAAAAACAGACAATGAAAGATAATCAGACACACTGAAAAAACAATCAGAGTGAAACATTAAAGAGAGACTAAAAAATCAATGTGTAGAAAAGCTGGAGGGAACTAAGAGTCTCAGAGAGGGACCAGCTGGAGGGAACTAAGAGTCTCAGGGAGGGACCAGCTGGAGGTAACTAAGAATCTCAGGGAGGGACCAGCTGGAGGGAACTAAGAGTCTCAGGGAGGGACCAGCTGGAGGGAACTAAGAGTCTCAGGGGGGACCAGCTGGAGGGAACTAAGAGTCTCAGGGAGGGACCAGCTGTATGGAACTAAGAGTCTCAGAGAGGGACCAGCTGGAGGGAACTAAGAGTCTCAGGGAGGGACCAGCTGGATGGAACTAAGAGTCTCAGAGAGGGACCAGCTGGAGGGAACTAAGATTCTCAGAGAGGGACCAGCTGGATGGAACTAAGAGTCTCAGAGAGGAACCAGCTGGCGCGAATTAAGAGTCACAGATAGTGACCAGCTGGGGGGAACTAAGAGTCTCAGGGAGGGACAAGCTGGAGGGAACTAAGAGGGAGTGTTGAGGTTATCAGTGTTATGTCTGGGCAACATCTTAAACTCCTCCTCCTCGTTGATAATGTCTTGGGTGACTGAGTAGGTGGGGCGACCCTTCACACTCTCCCACACACGCTTGTAGGCTCTGGCACATGCCGGACTCACCACCCCCTCTCTCACATCCTCAGGGCTGTTAGGACCTGCCAGGATTAACGAAGCTGTTATCTAATTTATCATTATTTATGAATCATCATTAGTCAATATCTAAGTTTCAGGATAATTTTACTTGAATAAAATCTGACTCTAATGTTTACAATCAATGTAGAATTACCAGACAAAATCTATAGAGTTATATCAACAAGAACTTGCACAGATTAGTTTTATGCTAAAAAATAATTACTTTTACAGTACATGTTTGAATATTGGGTGGTAATTCTTCCAGGACTAAGACAAAATATACAAATGGCACTTTTCATGTAAAGTAAGTGAGAAGCTGCAAGATACCGAGAGGAAAAAATGTTCTCACCTGTCAACAGAGAGACGAGGGAGCTGATTATAAATGTCAGCGCCGCAGCAATTATGCCCGTGTAGCAGTAGGAGATCTCGTAGATAGTGTTAGATTGAGTTCTGTGGATGAAATGTGCATTATAATGAATCCATCTTTCAAATATAATACTTAGTGTCATTTGTTAAGGCGGCATTACAAACTAGCAATTTTTCAAACCGGCAAGTAAATGCAATAATAGATCAGGAGATTCCAGATATTGTTCCTGATTGTATTTTTACGAATTCTCTTAGACACTTTTACGTAGAGGCCCGTGACGTCACATATATGACATCACGCCACCACTGAATTACCAGCGACATCCGAAACTTATAGCTCTTTATCTACTGTGTTCCATACCACCACCTCCCAATACTACCACCACTTACCTGCTACTACTACCACCACTTCCGGCTACTACTACCACCACTTTCAGTAACTAACATCTTCACTACAACAACTTTCTGTTACTACTACCACCACTTCCTGTTACTACTACCACCACTTCCTGTTACTAACACCTTCACTACCACCACTTACCTGCTACTACTACCACCACTTTCAGTAACTAACACCTTCACTACAACCACTTCCTGTTACTACTACCACCACTTACTTGCTACTACTACCACCACTTCCTGTTACTACTACCACCACTTCCTGTTACTAACACCTTCACTACAACCACTTCCTGTTACTACTACCACCACTTACCTGCTACTACTACCACCACTTCCTGTTACTACTACCACCACTTCCGGCTACTACTACCACCACTTTCAGTAACTCACACCTTCACTACAACCACTTCCTGTTACTACTACTACCACTTCCTGTTACTACTACCACCATTTCCTGTTACTAACACCTTCACTACAACCACTTCCTGTTACTACTACCACCACTTCCTGTTACTAACACCTTCACTACAACCACTTCCTGCTACTACTACCACCACTTCCGGCTACTAACACCATCACTACAACCATGATACTACACCACCACTTCCTGTTACTACTACCACCACTTCCTGTTACTAACACTTTATCACTACAACCACTTCCTGCTACTACTACCACCACTTCCCTCATTGCCTACTACCACCACTTCCGGCTACTAACACCATCACTACAACCACTTCCTGTTACTAGCACCATCACTACCACCACTTCCTGTTACTACTACCACCACTTCCTGTTACTACTACCACCACTTCCGGCTACTACTACCACCACTTCCGGCTACTACTATCACCACTTCCGGCTACTACTACCACCACTTCCTGTTACTAACACCTTCACTACAACCACTTCCTGTTACAACTACCACCACTTCCTATTACTACTACCACCACTTCCTGTTACTACTACCACCACTTCCTGTTACTACTACCACCACTTTTAGTTACTAACACCATCACTACAACCACTTCCTGTTACTACTACCACCACTTCCGACTACTACTACCACCACTTCCTGTTACTAACACCTTCACTACAACCACTTCCTGTTACTACTACCACCACTTCCTGTTACTACTACCACCACTTTCTGTTACTACTACCACCACTTCCTGCTACTACTACCACCACTTCCTGTTATTACTACCACCACTTCCTGTTACTACTACCACCACTTCCTGTTATTAACACCTTCACCACACCTCACTTCCTGCTGCTACCACACCACTCCTGCTGCTACTACCACCACTTCCTGCTGATACTACCACCACTTCCTGTTACTACTACCTCCACTTTCTGTTACTAGCACCTTCACTACCACCACTTCCTGTTACTAGCACCTTCACTACCACCACTTCCTGCTGCTACTACCACCACTTCATGTTACTAACACCATCACTACCACCACTTCCTGTTACTACTACCATTTCCTGTTGCTACTACCACCACTTCTTGCTACCATTACCACCACTTCCTGTTGTTTCAGCACCTTCACTACCTCACCACTTCCTGCCGCTACTACCACCACTTCCTGTTACTAACACCATCACTACCACCACTTCCTGCTGCTACTACCACCACTTCCTGTTACTAACACCATCACTACCACCACTTCCTGTTGCTACTACCACCACTTCCTGTTACTACTACCACCACTTCCTGTTACTAGCACCATCACTACCACCACTTCCTGTTACTAGCACCATCACTACCACCACTTCCTGCTGCTTCTACCACCACTTCCTGTTGCTAGCACCTTCACTACCACCACTTCCTGTTTGCTACTACCACCACTTTCTGCTACTACTACCACCACTTCCTGTTACTAGCACCATCACTACCACCACTTCCTGCTGCTTCTACCACCACTTCCTGTTGCTAGCACCTTACCACCACTTCCTGTTACTAGCACCATCACTACCACCACTTCCTGTTACTACTACCACCACTTCTTGCTACTACTACCACCACTTCCTGTTACTAGCACCTTCACTACCACCACTTCCTGTTACTAGCACCATCACTACCACCACTTCCTGCTGCTTCTACCACCACTTCCTGTTGCTAGCACCTTCACTACCATCACTTCCTGTTACTAGCACCATCACTACCACCACTTCCTGCTGCTACTACCACCACTTCCTGTTACTAACACCATCACTGCCACCACTTCCTGCTACTGGTGGCAGCAGGAGAATGTAAGTAATTTCACTCGTGTGTAGGAATAGAGAAGAATGTGGTTCTCCCAGGATAATCCACGGAACAGAATATAACTAAGTAAATCTGAGAATAAAAGAAAATAAACAAATAAGTAAAAGTATTAAAAGAAATACAATAAGCACCAAGAAAGACAGAGAATGAAGAAAATAAAAGAAATATAACCAAGAAAGTTATAGACATAAGAAGGTAAGAGCCAAACTTCAAAAGTCGTGATATTACACTGGAATGAGGTGAGAGTGTTGGAGCTGGGTGAGAGGAAGTTAAAATGCTTGGTGGTGACCTAAGCGGCCATGTGGGATACACACAGAAGGTTTGGACAGTGTGTATGGTGAAAAAGGCTACAGTACAAGGAATATGGAAAGAGTAAGAATATTAAAGTTTGGATTTACACTGAATATGGTTGTATCTAATATACTATAGGAATAGCCGTGTGTCTGTCTGTCTGTCTGTCTGTCTGTTCTGGGCAGCCGAAACGGCACAATCGTTTTTCATCAAACTTGGTGGAAAAATCGCACAAAAATTCGTAGAGTGGTAACAAACCTGGTCCCATGTCGATGCTTTTTTTTAGGAAGGCATTAATTAACCATTTTATTTACGCTGGAAAAAGTTGTCCCTGTACGTTGTCAGCCAGCTGGACGATTGCAGTTATCGTACGGCTCCCTCCTCCTCCCCCCACTTTTTCTCTTAGCCTACTTTTTTTAATGTTGTTTGGATTAGTAAAGGAAGGAAGATGAGTAAATAGAAGAAAGAAGGGGAAACAAAAATAGTTAGAGATAACAGGTGGGGGTAGCTGAGTTTCATCATGCGTCTGGATGCGCAGTTTCAACGCTACCAGATGACCTTACAGCTACAGTTAATACTTATTCCTGTGGCTGACTGTACATGGAAAAGGAGAAGAGATAAAAAGATAATAACAGGAATGCATGGAGAAGATGACTACAATAGACACAGCGTGAATATAGACAGTGAAACAGACAGGAGGTTGACAAAAATAGACAGATTCATATATGCACAAATAGACAATATGGCAACTAACATGACAGACAGACAGCTGACCGACTGGTTCACATTAGACAAACAGGCAGACACACGCCAACAACGGATAAGACAGACAGATTTGACGACACAAAGAATACAGACGGGCTTACAGTCAAACACCACGGAGACGAACAGACAGTTGGGATGGCAATAGACAGGACAGATAGACTTGAGACAGATTAGAAGGCATTTATAAACAAGAATAACACCAAATTGACCATAGCTACGCCAGTGAGGGTAGGAGGTCTTACATCCACCAGAGTAAATAATAAGACGCATTGAAAACTAACACCCTCGCGCGGAATGAACATCGATGGTCGGTCAGTCATGTGAGATGGGCCTAAAACTGACTAATGTAGATGATGACTTAACACAGGTGATGACTTAAGCAGATGGTGACTAATCTAACCAGAATCAAGGTCACTTCTCTTCATAATATAATTTATCTCGGAATGATCATCGGTGATTCATAATAATAAAAGAATTATGATTTTAACCTCTCTTTATGGCGAATATTTCTTTAACTACTTATTCTAACCTTTATTCTATTCCTTACTATAGTATACTAGATACTTACAGTACCTAATAACCACGACCATGATTATAACAACCACGACCATGATTATAACAACCACGACCATGATTATAACAACCACAACCATGATTATAACAATCACGACCATGATTATAACAACCACTACCATGATTATAACAACCACGACCATGATTATAACAACCACGACCATGATTATAACAACCACGACTATGACTATAGCAACCACGACCATGATTATAACAACCACGACCATGATTATAACAACCACGACCATGATTATAATAACCACAACATGATTATAACAACCACGACCTTGATATAACACCACGACCATGATTATAACAACCACGACCATGATTATAACAACCACGACCACGACTATGATTATAACAACCACGACCATGATTATAACAACCACGACCATGATTATAACAACCACGAATCATGATTATAACAACCACGACTATGATTATAACAACCACGACCATGATTATAACAACCACGACCAAGATTATAACAACCACGACTATGACTATAGCAACCACGACCATGATTATAACAACCACGACCATGATTATAACAACCACGACCATGATTATAACAACCACAACTATGATTATAACAACCACGACCATGATTATAACAACCACAAATATGATTATAACAACCACGACCATGATTATAATAACCACGACAATGATTATAACAACCACGACCATGCTTATAACAACCACGACCATGATTAAAACAACCACGACTATGACTATAGCAACCACGACCGTGATTATAACAACCACGACCATGATTA